CTACAAAAATCTAAGTCATCAGTTTTTTGGTTTGTGGTACAGGAGTTTACATTTGAACACAGCTGGATCCCACTCAGGCAGCCAGCTCCCATGACAGCACCTTCAAGCTATATTGATTTCTATGGGAGAAAAGGCACCATAAATCTGCCTCAGCAGCACTGCGTCATTCTTTTGGTTGGCTTTAGAAGGTAAATTAAATGTTTTCCATTAGTATGGTAAAGAGGCTATACAGTTTTGTTTTTATTTCAAATACAGGCTCAAGTTACGAAACACTTCAGCTAGCTATGTGGCAAGAACTACATGTTTAATATTTGTACAGCCAGCAATTCATACTTAGGTGAAAACAGATGTGTGTACTGCACAGTTCCCAGGACTGTAAATGCCTTTAAAATATGTTGATTTTGAGCTTTTTCGGTTAAAACCGAGAGGAAATTGAAGCCAAACCCAGCACTTCTTTTGGAGGGAAGGGGAAAAAACATCAGGAAAACACATAAGCATACGAGCAAAGCTGCAGCGCAACAAAGTAGTTTTAAGAAGCTATAAGCATATCACTTGAGGTAACAAGTGAAGTTTCCTTGATCAATTATTCATATAATTTACAGCAATAGTTACAGTTGCATCAGTAAGGAAAAATAAAACTAGGGCAAATACAACCCTCAGAACTATGAATTGCCCTCAATTTTCACTGGAACATTTGGCCATCATTTTACGCCATGTGTTTCTAGTTAATAAAATATACACCCTGCCCCACAAAAAAAGAAAGAAAGAGAAACAGAAAAAAGTACAAATTGATTTACTGGAAATAGTAAAAGCATTCAAGCCCACATTTTAGTCCCACATTCTATGAATTATTGATAACCAACACTAGCTTAAACTTTGTGCATGAATCATAAAACCTCCTGTTAAGTACAGGTATATCTGCCAACCACTCTGGAATTATTCAAGCACCTCTTATGAAGCTTTTACTTACCATATTTGAGCAAATATAAGATGCCCCTGAATATAAGATGATCCTCCAATAAATTAGATTCTATATACGAAAATATTATAAATTAGTTATAATTTTTCAGGTATGGAATCTAATTCTCCTGAATTTGTCCCTCTCCCACTACTACAACAAAGAAAATAAATCTGGGGGAGGTCAGGCAGTTCTCTTGCCCTCTGCCCCCCTCACCCCCGCCCCCAACACACAATTTCTTCCCCCTGCAGCTCCCTCCACACCCTCCTTATTGTCAGAGTCTGCTCTCCCTGGGCACATGGAAATGAGAAGCAAATTTGAAAGCACTGGCCTTGAAATAAATATACCTGTAGCAACTGGCATATACAAGTACCCATAAACTTAGTTCATCCAGAACTGATGCATTTTGCCTTTTTTGAAACCACTCCAGCTTTTAGCGCGCACACTCCATAAACACACTTTAAAGCAGTATATATATATATATATATATATATATATATATATACACACACACACACACACACACACACACACACACACACACACACACACACACAAA